TTCTATGGTGTCCTGCGTCATTTCTCGTCTAACGGCCAGGTAATCACCCAATGCCGAATGTTCTCCATTCCTTCAGCAGCTCTCTCAGATCCGAAAAACTTCTGGCTACCGCTACTTGCATACCGTTCTTCATGCCATCTCGTTCCATTATGGCCGCACTTTCCGGCGCTGCAAAACCGACTGGACCTTTCTTCTGTGGTGTACTTCTCATATTTTCTTCCGTTAGCTCCTTTTTGAGCTCTTGCAGGGCTTCGTCGTACATTGGCTACACCGCGTATCCATTGATTTTCGCATGAGCTTCGATCTTCTGAGTGCTACATATAAATTCCGTCCATTCCGTGCAGCGATTGTACGCCATTCTCAGGACTGGCTTCAGGGCGGCTTCATCAAGGCAGACGGTTCCTTTTATAACAGCTTGATCTTCGTCGGAAGGTCTGTGTCGGTCCTTCTGAATATGCTGCTCGCGATCCACGCTTTCCAAATGGTGCCCACTGTCTCATTGGCGAATGCGCCTGGGAATGATACTCCTTCGATTTCCGACAACCTCGTCATTTGCAAGCAGTCGCCCAAGCAATGATACAGTAGATGACCAGGCTCTTTCTCATTGGTCAGCTTGGCGCCTCTGAAAATAGTGACTATAGTTTTTCATACCTCTACCTGACCTTTCTTTCTTCCTCTTTTCCCTCTACAGGTAACTGTGCTAACTGGTTCGTTGGGGAAGTTTTGGGGTAAAATGCGTAGCTGATCATGTGGAATTCGGATTGGCTCGCTGTTTTTGCCTATTCTCGATATCAAAGCTGAGTTTTCGCTAGTCTGTAACACTCTGAACGGGCCAGCCCACTCGTTAGTGAATTTTGGATGCGTACTTTTGCTTTTTTCTGCCGGAACCCTAACGTGAACCCTCTCTCCAATTTTTGGAAGCTTGGTGGGATCAACTTTGAAATTAGAATCATAATTCTTTTTCATGCATTGACGCATTCTATCATTGTGCGCGCAAATTTTTTTGCACATCCCTTATTCCCTGCATGATTGCTGTTTTGTACTCACTCATATTTTCTTCCATCATGTAACTGGAGATGCTACTTTGTGGGATTACGTCCGAGGGGAACGTCGGATCTATGCCATGCAGGATGTAAAAAGGGCTCTCTCCTGTTGCCCTGTGGGGGGTCATATTTTATGCTAGCATGCAGAATGGTAGCTTTTGGTCCCATTCTGTGGGTATATCGTTGTTTTTCAAAGCATTGCTATTATTGTTCCGTTTAATCTTTCTGTGATCCCGTTTTCACGCGGATTGTATTCTTTTGTGAAAATGTGCTCGATTTTTGCAAAACTTTCGATTTTTTGCATTACCTTGTTTTCGAATTCCGCCCCTCTATCTGATAAGATTGCTTTGGGCCATCTACACCCGTCGGCAATCCACCTTAGAAACAAAACTTTTGCTACCGTTTCCGCCGACTTATCAGCCACTGCGTAGGCCGCTGCGAATTTTGAGAAATGGTCTATTACCGTTATTGCATATCTGTTGCCTGCTGTTGTTATACCTAGTTCCAGCAGATCGACCCCTGCTACTTCAAAGGGCTTTGTCGTTCGAATCGGTTTCAAGGGTGGTACTACTACTGTCGCAGGATTGCTGAGAAAACACCTTTGGCATTCCGAGGTCCATTTGTTGATATCTTTCGCCATTTCCGGCCAAAATACTTCCTTTTTCAACCTGTTCAGTACCTTGTGAGCACTTAAATGGCCCGCTAAAGTTCCTCCGTGCGCTTCTTCAAAAACTTTGTATTGTGCACGGTACCACGTATACTAACGATCCATCTTCTCTGTACATTTTGAGGTCTCCTCCGTCTATGACAAAATCTGCTATTTTCACGGGCCCTTTCATTCCGGGAACTTTAGCCGTGTGGTCGAAGTTCTATTTTTGTACATTTTTGATTATCCAGGCCCATTCCTTCTGGTCTTTTAGCTTTTTTTGCCATGCTGATTCTGCCTTGGTCTGCGTGACATACACGACGGGGTTCTGTTCGACCCCTTCTTCGTCAGGGCTTCTTTCCTCTTTTACTGGCCCTCTGCTGAGTGCATCTGCTACTACAATCGCTTTTCCTTTCACGTATTCGATCTGCAGCTTGTACCGTTGCAGTTCGAGTGCCCATCGCAAAATGCGTGCGGATAGATTTTTTCTTTGAATAAGGCCACCAAAGGTTGGTGATCGGTTCTCACTACAGTTGGTATTCCGTAGATAAACATGTGGAATCTCCTAACTGCGAATACTACACCCAGTGCTTCAAGGTCAGTTATGTGATATCTCTTTTCCGCTTTTGTGAGCGTTTTGGACGCAAAAAATATTGGATGAATCTGTTTGTCTTCTCCTTTTTGTGACAAGACTGCTCCCAGTCCTGACGTAGACGCGTCTGTGAATATGATGAAGGGCCTTCTGCCGCTTGGCCTCCTCTATATTAGGTTGCGTCAACACTGGTGCTGTTGAAATTATTTGTTTCATTTTTTCAAAAGCATCCTTTTGTTTTTCATCCCATTTCCATTCCGCCTTCGCTGAAGTCAGTTCGAAAAGGGGTGCAGTGATCTTTGAGAAGTTCAAACAAAACTTCCTGTAAAACGATGCCATTCCCAAAAAGCTTCTCATTTCCTTCCCATTTCTAGGAACTGGATAGTTCAAGACTGCTTCAACTTTTCCTTTGTCCATATGCACTCCCTCCGCATCAATAATGTGTCCTAGAAAGGAGACCGATCTTTGCAATAGCACACAGTTCCTGGCGATTAGCATGAGTCCTGCCTTCTCATTCGTTCGCAAATCTCTCGGAGCAGTTCTATGTGTCGACCCATTGTTTCCGTGCAGATTATGACATCGTCTATATAGCAGAACACTTCGACTCCTACTCAGATAATCGCCGGAGGCAGGCGGTCCGCAAACTCGCGCTTTTCTGCAGGCGGTCAGCAGGATTTCGGGGCGTGGCCAAATCTTCAGCGGGCGGTATTCGCGTTTTCTGCAAGCGGGCATCAATACAAAATTTTCTGCAAGCGCTCGTCAAACAATCTCTTTCAGCGAGCGCTGGCCAAACTTTCAGCAGGCGCTCAGACTCTTTTTACGCAGTTTCGGGCGTACGCCGAGAAAAGATGAGACTCTATGTGTCAGAGGTGCCATCGATGGTTTTATTACCCATAGAGACGCTGCGAGTAGACTATAGTCTTGCTGGCAGGACTCTGGTCAACATTCTGCAAAGCTGAGCCCTCTATTGGGCGAAAATTTTGTTTTTTCATTGTGTTTTGGAGCGATTTTGACAAAAATCTCAATTTGGAGTGCATTTCCTTTCCCATAGAGACGCTGCGAGTAGACTATAGTCTTGCTGGCAGGACTCTGGTCAACATTCTGCAAAGCTGAGCCCTCTATTAGGCGAAAATTTTGTTTTTTCATTGTGTTTTGGAGCGATTTTGACAAAAATCTCAATTTGGAGTGCATTTCCTTTCCCATAGAGACGCTGCGAGTAGACTATAGTCTTGCTGGCAGGACTCTGGTCAACATTCTGCAAAGCTGAGCCCTCTATTGGGCGAAAATTTTGTTTTTTCATTGTGTTTTGGAGCGATTTTGACAAAAATCTCAATTTGGAGTGCATTTCCTTTCCCATAGAGACGCTGCGAGTAGACTATAGTCTTGCTGGCAGGACTCTGGTCAACATTCTGCAAAGCTGAGCCCTCTATTGGGCGAAAATTTTGTTTTTTCATTGTGTTTTGGAGCGATTTTGACAAAAATCTCAATTTGGAGTGCATTTCCTTTCCCATAGAGACGCTGCGAGTAGACTATAGTCTTGCTGGCAGGACTCTGGTCAACATTCTGCAAAGCTGAGCCCTCTATTGGGCGAAAATTTTGTTTTTTCATTGTGTTTTGGAGCGATTTTGACAAAAATCTCAATTTGGAGTGCATTTCCTTTCCCATAGAGACGCTGCGAGTAGACTATAGTCTTGCTGGCAGGACTCTGGTCAACATTCTGCAAAGCTGAGCCCTCTATTGGGCGAAAATTTTGTTTTTTCATTGTGTTTTGGAGCGATTTTGACAAAAATCTCAATTTGGAGTGCATTTCCTTTCCCATAGAGACGCTGCGAGTAGACTATAGTCTTGCTGGCAGGACTCTGGTCAACATTCTGCAAAGCTGAGCCCTCTATTGGGCGAAAATTTTGTTTTTTCATTGTGTTTTGGAGCGATTTTGACAAAAATCTCAATTTGGAGTGCATTTCCTTTCCCATAGAGACGCTGCGAGTAGACTATAGTCTTGCTGGCAGGACTCTGGTCAACATTCTGCAAAGCTGAGCCCTCTATTGGGCGAAAATTTTGTTTTTTCATTGTGTTTTGGAGCGATTTTGACAAAAATCTCAATTTGGAGTGCATTTCCTTTCCCATAGAGACGCTGCGAGTAGACTATAGTCTTGCTGGCAGGACTCTGGTCAACATTCTGCAAAGCTGAGCCCTCTATTGGGCGAAAATTTTGTTTTTTCATTGTGTTTTGGAGCGATTTTGACAAAAATCTCAATTTGGAGTGCATTTCCTTTCCCATAGAGACGCTGCGAGTAGACTATAGTCTTGCTGGCAGGACTCTGGTCAACATTCTGCAAAGCTGAGCCCTCTATTGGGCGAAAATTTTGTTTTTTCATTGTGTTTTGGAGCGATTTTGACAAAAATCTCAATTTGGAGTGCATTTCCTTTCCCAAGTTTGGTGTACTTTCTTTCAGCGGAAAGTACCTGAGGGCTGTGCGGTCCTTCAAAAAGGACCGTGCGGCTCTCAATAATTTTGCATGTTCTCGCGGAAAATCCGCGAGAATGCGGCCACTGCGCCGCAGCTAATCCGTAAAGAAACCGCGATTGTTCTTCAAGCATTCGTCTTTAATTTCGTCAATTTTCTTCCAAATTTCTGCAAGCGGGCGGCAAAAAATCAACGAACTATTTTTCCGGTGCGCGCTTGCTCAAAATTCGCATGGCCGCCTGCCCCCGGCGATTATCTGAGTAGAAGCCCTTCTAGAACAGTGTCCATTAGTCGCTGGAATGTTGCCGGACTCGTGCTCAGTCCAAATGGGGTCACTTTGAATTGGAAGAGTCCCTCTGGCGTTGTGAAGACAGACTTATGTTTTGTCTGCTCATCCAGAGGAATTTGCCAGTAACCACTGCATAAATCAAGGGTGGTAAAATACTTTTTGCCCGCTAAGCTTTGCAAAATCGCGTCGATTGTAGGTAAGGGATACGAATCTTGTCGGACGCACTTATTCAGCTCTCTATAGTCGAGAAGAGCTTTTCTCGATTATTCTTCGTTGTTCCAGATCCTTCAACATTTCTCTCAATTTGGAGCGAACTCCTAATGGGACTGGTCTTGTTTTGAGTTTGATAGGTTCATGATCTCCTGTTTCTATCCTCATTCTGACCAAGTCAGTTTGCTTTAGCTCCTTATCGTTTACTACAAACGTACCGATGTATTCCTCTAGTATATCTTGTAGTTCTTTTTCAAATTCGTTTTCTTCTCGGTTCTTTTTGATTTGCTCCCAAAGTAGCTTTTTCTTCACGTTCTTCTCCATTTCTACTGTGCCATGGTCAAGCATGGTGCATTTCTCCTTTTTTTCTATCCATCTTTCTTTGGTCAGCTCGCCTAGCTCGTCACCTTTACGCAAAATCAGTGGGGCTTCTTCGTTGTTAAGCACGGGTATGGTTATCGTTTCATTCGTTATTTTGTATACGCCACTTGTCATTCCCTTTATTTTGGACCACAATACACCTTCTTCACTTTCCGTGACGCAATTCGCCTTCACTAACTTCACTCCATACGGCGGGACTATAACTCGTTTCCCTACCCTGACCACCGTCTCCTGCTCTTGTGGGTGACCTCCCTGTTTCTGGCGTTCGGGTTGGAGTGCTATATTGATTCCTAAACTTTCTAAAGCATTGGTACCTAGCAAGATCTCTAAACTATCCTCTTCGGAGATGTAGAATGCTACTTGCGCTGTTCTACCTCCCTGTATTGCGGTTGGAATTCTTACTCCTCCTAAAAATTTCATTTCATTGCTAGATGCATCGTAGACAATGTTCACGTCGTCTTCCTTGATGCGCTCTAAGGAATCCACATCGTATCCTCCGTACGCTGCGGCTAGGACCTTGAGCGGTATTATGCTGATCATCGACCCTGTGTCGATTAGCGCTTCCACAACGCCTTTAGCAGTTTTGCCTTCATTAGGGTTCGTTTGCCCACTACTTCAGTTCTTTGTCCTTCCTTACATTGTGTTCTCACTCCTATAGCTTTCACTCGGTGAATTAGTGAAGTGATTGGAGTCATACTTTCTTCGTTTTGTGTAATGGCGCTGTTCTGTCGGCTATTGTGTTTCTCTGGGCAAGATCTCGCTAAGTGCCCATACCTTGCACAATTATAACACCTCGGTTCGTTCGCCTTTTCCATGACGTACCGATTGCCCGTTGCCTTAACTTGGCTTCGGTTTAACGTTTCCGTTCTTTCGGGCATGGCTCTTACGCTTACTTTACTTCTCCATTCTTTTCCGTCATATCTGTCTTCCGCCTCTTCCTGCGGCTGCATGGCATTCTCCTCCCTACTCCCCGAGGGCGCTTGTGTTGCCTGTCCCCACTGGTGTCGGCTTTGGTATTCTTTCACTCGTGTATAGTCGCGGGCTCTATCCTTCCAACCCCTTTCTTGCTTAAAGCTTCCCTTGCCATACACTTCCAGGGATTGCTCTATGTTAATGGCCAGTTCCTTGATTTTCTCATAAGTTTGTGTTGGTCTTGTTTTATGTAATACACTCAGCAGCTGGATCTGCTCTGGCCAGTGCTTGAGATTTTCTAACAAAATCATTGCGTATTCCATAGACTTATTTTCGGGACTCCGCTCCGGGTCTGCTTTGCGTCCTAGTCTTTCTAGCACTATGCAAAAGTCTACCACGCTTTGCCCCGGCCTTAACCTCACGTTCCTCATTTCCGTTAGGGCCCTAAGCCTCGCCGCCGTAGAGTCTACCGCAAGAGCCTTCCCTAACTCTTGCACTAGCACCTCGAAGGTTGATTCCCTTATATCTCTGGGTAGGGTTAGGTACAAATTCTCTGCTCTCCCCCCTAAGTGGTCGTCTACTAGTATTTCTTTTAGGGTTTGGTCCTCTTTGACCACCTTCTCGTACTTCCTACGGAACCTTCTTAGGAACTCATCAAAGTTCTCATTTGTTTTCCCTCTAAAAGTTTCCGGATCTACGCACGTTGAAGCCTCTAGAAATGTTAGAAGGCTCTGACCTGCCATTTCCGGCTCCCTTCCGTTTTCTTCCCAATTCTGGAAATGCGGATTCAAGCGCGGTTCGTAAAGCGTACCAATCCTCTTGTTCGAAAGATCTGCGAGATCGCCCTGCAAAGCGAAATTTTCTCTTTTGCTTTCAGCCATCTTGCTCTTACCTTGATTCGTACTTTTCTTCTCTTCATTTGGGCCTTTTCCCTCTCCGGGTACTTCTGCCTTCAATAGCTGTACTTTCTCTTTTATCTGAGAAACATTGGTATCTAAGAGTTCGCATAGCTCTGTTACTAATCCACTGTCTCTCTCTGTAGTCGATATAAATTCCTCTAAGTTCTCTGCGGACTCTATTCCCTTCTTCAAGAGGACTTCCCTAATTTGTCCCCCAGACATCCCTTCCTTTCCAATTTTTGTCTTCAAAATTGCCAACGCGCTTTTTGTTTTCTCTACAAGTTGCGTTATTTCATTCTCGAGTGAGTCTCTAAACTTGTAAGCTATTCTGTGCTCATCGAGTTTTGAAGCAAGCGTTTCAGGTGTACTCGCAATCATGCACTAACCTCACTAAAAATGTCGTCCTCTGTTATGCAGGCACTTACCTGCTTTTCGGGTTTTCCCGTGTCCATCGATTCGATCATTGCCTTTCGTGGCTTTCGACGCGTTCAATTCCGTATTCTGAAAACACTTTTTGAACCTCCGTCTATCGGTTCACAACGCGACAATCACACGAGAATTACACTAGTCCCTGTTCTGGACTCGCTTTTAAGCGTTTTCCGTGTCTTTCTTTGTGTAGCTCTCAGACGGCCGGTTCGGCCCCCATGTGAGATTCTGATACGATTACGGCCGAAGCCGCCGAGAGCTTTTACTCAAAAGAATAAAACAGATTTATTAACAATAAACAGAGAACAAGGACAAAAGTCGCAAAAAATCGAGATCGTGGTGACTTCAAGAGGAAAAAATGAAAAAAAGGATCACTGAAGACGGCCCACTGACCGCCGGTGAGGCTCGGACTTCGAATGTCGTCTGAGACGCCAATAGCCGCGCCAAAATCGATGCGTGATCTCTTCGGTGGCAGATCACCAGCTGATCGCGGCATTAGTAAGTATAAGCTATTTCCTCTGCATGTACCCTGTCAACTGAGAAATACCAAGTTTAACATAAGAAACTTGATTGAAAAAAACGACAATTTGCATTTTCGGACTGTTTTTACTTCATAGATTTGAGCCGCGGAAAAAATGCAGCATATGAATTTTTGATTATAATCGTAGGAAACTTCTGGAAAGAAATCCGATTTTGATAGTAATTGGAAAACCTCAGTTTTTGGTTCCGAATTTTAGCTGGATTACGACTTTGATCCTTGCTGTCATTTTGTAGAGCTAGCTTCGCTAAATCATAAAGTCTGTTGGGAAAACAAAAACAGCTTTCTCCAAAAACCAGTTACGTCTCAAGCGAAACTGTGGAGAAACAGCTTCATTCATTTACGTTTGGGACTACCTAATAGTAGTTTAGATGTAGCTCTACCGCATAACTTTCACTATCTTGCGCAAAAAACGACTCGACATAGAGATAAGTAAAAATTGTGCAAAGCTAATTGCTTCAAACTTAGCTGAGGGCTCAGTGCTCATTAGCTTTGTAAATTGACCTGTGAAAAAAAAAGAGAAAATGACTCAGTTTGTACGTGCATTTCAATAAATTAGACTTCCAATCGACGATTTTTGAATTCAAGTCACACTGCCTCAGGCGTCTACCAAACCCACTTTGTAAAATTTTGTTCTGCTTTCTTTGCTTGGAAAACTTATTTATAGAGCTGCACAATTCATTACAACCTGCTCGTATAAAATTCGTATCCGCTCATATATCAACCGGACATGTGCTACTTTGCAAAGGAAAATCGTCGAGAAAAAAGGAGCACTGCGCTTGCCGAGCACATTGAAATAGGACTCGATTGGCTTGATTATGCTTGCTTAACATTCCATGTGTTTGTCAGAAGCAGTAGGCCTTCGTCGTTCTACGTTTCCACATCTGTAATTTTCGGAAAAAGCTGTTTTTTTCTTCGCTGGTGGAAAAGAGTCATAATCTCTCATCAAGATTTTCACCAAGTCACACTTTTAGATTCTGCTTTTTGGGGGAGAACAAACAATTTTGCCTTTTTCCAGGCATGAGATAGCCGTACTTCGTTAGAAATCAAAAATATTAGGTGTTACATAAGTCTTGTTACACTCCAACTTCTTAGGCGATAAGTCATGCACCTCATATTCTTGACACTCCAGGGTACCATTCGATAGAGCAAAACAAGCTCTACAAGAGGTATGCAAAAGTTCGCACCAACTTCGACCCACTATAAGTTCGCACCCAAAATCGAGTCGTACTGAAGGCTCCAAAAACGCGAAAAATTCATATCTTCGCTCAAAAAAATTCTACAAATCTCCAGCTTGCTCATAAAAATTGCACACTATATACACTCATATGTACCGTTGCTTTCTTTCTTCCTCATTTAAGAATCGAGAAAATGAAAATTTTCTTGTTTTTACAAAAACCAAGCTATGCTGTTTCTATTTATGTTGCTGTATACTACAAGCCCTTAGAAGTATAACCGTAAATTTACAGCTTCCCAGAAGCCCTAGTTCTCGAAAAATACCGAATTTAGCTTTTTTCACTCGTGTGTTCAATGCTAAATTAGGTAATTTTCGAAAACTGGGGCTTCTAGAAAGCTGAAAATTTGCGGTTATACAGTGCTGGCTATAGCTATAAAGCCACCCTAAAAATCACTGTAATTTGCTCTCTTTTGTTCGAAATTGTCTGAAAAACCACTATTCTGTGTGCAAACTAACGTTGTATCATTGACCAGAACGGCTCCCAATTTCATTGGTTTTGGCCGGAGAAAAATTGAAAAATTTGAAAAGGGGGTTCTCAAGGCTGGTCACAGCTATGAAGCCACCTCTCATTTCCAATCAGTACTACGTTTTTTGAACCTGAAATTTTTTGTGCATATACAACATCAAAATATTAAACATTTATCACGCTTGGAAGCAGTCGCCTTTTCAAAAAGAAGATTTATCCTGCATTTTTTGCTTCAAAATATATACAAAGTTATGATGTTTGGAAAAACTGCCTTTTCACCGAATTCTGAAGCATCTGTTTGACTCAGATGAAGGTCCTGGGCTTCGCCGAGCCTTTGCAATGAGTATGGTGAAAAGTGCTGGACTCAACATTGCGTAATCGCTGATCTTGATAAACGAGCCTCATCTTACCGAGGTGTAAGCACGCTTCTGAGACGCAAAACTCGATTTCTGACGCGCGAAAATTTTCGATTGAAAGTTGACACCTTGTTTGCATGGTGACGTACTCATGCAGAAGCTGTCAGGCTTTTTACAAAGACGTACTTGCAACATTGAACTCAAAACGCTTTGTCTGCAGTTCGGTTGTGCGCAGTGTATCTCACATGACTTTAAATTTTACTGCTTTAAACTCCTCTTCAAGTCGAATCTTACAAAACTGTCAGGAATACTAGAATTTTGAAGTTTTGAGCGGTTTTCTGCTTGATGGAGAGGTCAGAGTGTGACATAATCAGGCAGAGTGCACCACTCATTTTTGGAAGAAAAGCGTTCAAGGAGGAACCAAAATACTGAGAGTTGCGATGACGTTCAAGCTATGCGCACGAGTCTATCGTTGTACAGGCAACGTGCTGAGCACGTGACAGAGCTTTTCGGGCATTAGAACTCAATTTCTGCGGTTCGAAAACTCATCTACCTGGAGGTGGGGTAGAGGCTCAATTATCAATATCAGCGACAACGCCATGTTGACTCCTGCGCTTTTCACCATATCCATTGTAAAGGCTTGGCGAAGCCCAGAACTTTCATCCGAGTCAAACAAATGCTTCAGAATTCGGTGAAAAGGCAGTTTTTCCAAACATCATAACTTTTTATACATTTTGAAGCAAAAAATGCAGGATGAATCTTTTTTTTTGAAAAGGCGACTGCTTCCAACCGTGATAAATGTTTAATATTTTGATGTTGTATATGTACAAAAAATTTCAGGTTTAGAAAACGTAGTACTGATTGGAAATGAGAGGTGGCTTTATAGCTGTGACCAGCCTTGAGAACCCCTTTTTTCAAATTTTTCAATTTTTCTGCGGCCAAAACCAATGAAATTGGGAGCCGTTCTGGTCAATGATACAACGTTAGCTTGCACACAGAATAGTGGTTTTTCAGACAATTCCGAACAAAAGAGAGCAAATTACAGTGATTTTCAGGGTGGCTTTATAGCTATGGCCAGCACTGTATAACCGCAAATTTTCAGCTTTCTAGAAGCCCCAGTTTTCGAAAATTACCTAATTTAGCATTGAACACACGAGTGAAAAAAGCTAAATTCGGTATTTTTCGAGAACTAGGGCTTCTGGGAAGCTGTAAATTTACGGTTATACTTCTAAGGGCTTGTAGTATACAGCTACATAAATAGAAACAGCATAGCTTCGTTTTTGAAAAAACAATAAAATTTTCATTTTCTCGATTCTTAAATGAGGAAGAAAGAAAGCAACGGTACATATGAGTGTATATAGTGTGCAATTTTTATGAGCAAGCTGGAGATTTGTAGAATTTTTTTGAGCGAAGATATGAATTTTTCGCGTTTTTGGAGCCTTCAGTACGACTCGATTTTGGGTGCGAACTTATAGTGGGTCGAAGTTGGTGCGAACTTTTGCATACCATCTTGTAGAGCTTGTTTTGTTCTATCGAATGGTACCCTGGAGCCCTGTAAAGAATATGAGTTGCATGACTTGTCGCCGTAAGAAATGAAGTGTAACAGGACTTATGTAACAACCTAATACTATTGAGATAATGTATTAGACTCATGCATAATTAATGCAAACTTATCCTTGGGCCACTTGAAGTTCTTCCATTACCCTGAACCAATCTTTCCAGAAAATCTACGGCCCTCCAGCTTGGTCATCATAAAATGAACAAAGTAGTGACCAAAAATGCTTTTGCTGGATTTGTTAAATAGAGAAAAAGAGGTAGTTTGAAAATGAAAACTCCGTCTCAGCTCTTCCCACATTTTGATCGTATACTATAAGTCTTATCAAGAATAACCCCAAATTTAAAAATCTGTAGGTTCCTAGTAGTCAAGAAGTCCAAGTTTGACCTAGAAAATCGCAGTGACATTTTTTTGCATTTTCGTCCCATTTTTGATAATTTCGGACCCAGAAAAAAAGCAAATGCATTTTTGACTACTATTATGTGTCTGCTGTAGGACGACCGAGTTTGAGGTCCGTAGGGCTTTTCTTGAAAGGAGATACGATTTTTGAAGTGGTTGAAAAATTTGGATTTTTTGGCCTAAATTTTACCTGGATTAAGACTTCAGTGGATTTTTGGTAGTCATGCAGTAGAGTTTGCTTCGCTCTATGGAATGGTACTTTAGTTTTGCTGCAAAAAAAAACTTGATTTATTCAATAATGATGTTTTTAAGACAACCTAATATTCGATGAGGAGTGGATCATAAAGTAATGAGACAGGCATTCTTCCAAAAGTTTGGCGCTTGTATATTACTCCTGCGTT